ATAAAGATTCATGTGCTAGGCATTAGTGAGCTAAAATGGACTGGTATTGGCCACTTTGAATCAGACAATAATATTGTCTACTATGCTGAGAATGACAAACTGAAGAGGAATGGTGTCATGTTCATCTTTAAAAAGAACATTTCAAGATATATAATGAGGTACAACACTGTCAGTGATAGGATAATATCCATAAGTGTCTACAAGGAAGACCAGTTAAAATGACTATTATTCAAATTTATGCACCAACCACTAATGCCAAAGATGAGGAAATTTAAGATTTTTACCAACTTCTGCAGTCTGAAATTGATCAAACATGCAATCAAGATGCCTTGATAATTACTGATGGTTGGAATGGGAAAGCTAGAAACAAAGAAGAAGGAACAGCAGTTGGAAAATATGGCCTTGGTGATAGAAACAACATTAGAGATCCCATGATAGAGTTTTGTAAGACCAATCACTTCCTCGTTACAAATAGCTTTTTGGAACAACATAATTGGGGACTATACATGTGGACCTCACCAGATGGAAAACACAGGAATCAAATCGACTACATCTGTGGAAAGAGGTGATGGAAGAGCTCAATATCACCGATCAGAACAAGGCCAGGGGCCAACTGAGGAACATCAATTGCTCATACGTAAGTTCAAGTTGAAACTGAAGAAAATTAGAAGAACCCACAAGAGCTAAAATATAACCTTGAGTATATCCTACCTGAATTTAGAGACCATCTCAAGAATAAATTTGACTCACTTAGGACTAATGACTGAAGTCCAGATGAGTTGTGGGTTGACATCAAGGACATCATACATAAAGAAAGCAAAAGCTCATTAAAAAGACAGAAAAGAAAGAAAAGACCAAAATGGATGTCAGAAGAGACTCTGAAACTTGCTCTTGAATATAGAGTAGCTAAAGCAAATTAAAGAAAAGATGAAGTAAAAGAGCTGAACAGAAGATTTCAAAGGGCAGCTTGAGAAGACAAAGTAAAATATTATAATGAAATGTGCAAAGACCTGGAGTTAGAGAACCAAAATGGAAGAAAACACTTGGCGTTTCTCAAGTTGAAAGAACTGGAGAAAACAGTTAAGCCTCAAGTTGCGATTTTGGAGGAATCTATGGGCAAAATATTGAATGATGCAGGAATGTAACCCAAAGAGGGTGGGTCCTGCCTGGTGTGACTTCTCTAGTCAATTAAGGGGCACTAGGCTTTCGAGAAAGAGAAAGTAGATGTTATTGCAAGCCAGAGCTGGGAGACTGTCTCAGATCAAACTCCCTGAGGTTGAGGATTCCAGGGTAGTTATAGGATCTGGGATAGGGAAGTTATGCATAATTCATGAAGCTTCTGAGTATAGGAGGACAATTCTAGGAACTAATTAACACGTGTGGTGGTGCAGTGGGGTTGCAGTGCCATTGCTGCTAGGAGCTGTGCTTTTGGGGTGTGATACATGACACTCATCTAAGGACAGCTTTGCAAATGGAGGGGAAGCAGTGAAGTAGACTTGGGCTGCTACACAGGATACTTTAACAGGAACTAGTTGACCACAGACCCAGGGTGTAATAAATGGAGGGGGAACAGTTTAACCCTGTTGATTACAGGAAGCATCAAAAGAAGATGGAAGGAATACACAGAATCACTATACCAGAAAGGATTGGTCGATATTCAATCATTTCAGGAGGTAGCAAGTGATCAAGAACCGACAGTATTGAAGGAAGAAGCCCAAGATGGACTAAAGGCACTGGCGAAAAACAAGGCTTCAGGAATTGATGGAACACCAATTGAGATGTTTCAACAAACAGATTCAGCTCTGGAAGCACTCACTAGTCTATGCCAAGAAATTTGGAAGACAGCTACCTGGCCAACCAACTGGAAGAGATCCATATTTGTGCCCATTCCAAAGAAAGGTGATCTAACCAGATGTGGAAATTATCAAAAAATGTTATTAATATCACTCACAAGTAAAATTTTGCTGAAGATCATTCTAAAGCCGTTGTAGCAGTACATTGACAAGGAACTACCAAAAATTCAAGCTGGATTCAGAAGAGGACATGGAATGAGGAATATTGTTGCTGATGTCAGATGGATCTAGGTTGAAAGCAGAGAATACTAGAAAGATGTTTACTTGTGTTTTATTGGCTATGCAAAGGCTTTCGACTGCGTGGATCATAACAAATTATGGATAATATTTTGAAGAATGGGAATTCCAGAACACTTAATTGTGCTCATGAGGAACCTGTGCATAGACCAAGAGGCAGTCTTTCGAATGGAGCAAGAGGATACTGCATGGTATAAAATCAGAAAATGTGTGCATCAGGGTTGTATCCTTTCACCATACTTATTCAATCTGTATGTTGAGCAAACAATCCAAGAAGCTGGACTATATGAAGAAGAATGTGGCATCAGGATTGGTGGAAGACTCATTAATAACCTGCAATATGCAGATGACACCATCTTGCTTGCTGAAAGCCAAGAGGACTTGAAACACTTACTGATGAAGATCAAAGACTACAGCCTTCTGTATGTATGACACCTCAACATAAAGAAAACAAAAATCCTCACAACTGGACCAATAAGCAACATCATGCTAAATGGAGAAAAGATTGAAGTTGTCAGGGATTTTATTTTACTTGGATCCACAGTTAACCCCATGAAAGCATCAGTCGGGAAATCAAATGATGTATTGCACTGGGCAAATCTACTGCAAAAGACCTCTTTAAAGTGTTAAAAAGCAAATATTTCATTTTGAAGACTAAAGTGTACCTGAGCCAAGCCCTGGTATTTTCAATCACCTCATATGCATGTGACAGCTGAACAACAAATAAGGAAGACCATGGAAGAACTGATGCCTTTGAATTATGGTTTTGGCAAAGAATGCTGAATACACCATGGACTGCAGAAGAATGAAGAAGTCTATCTTGGAGAAATACAGCTAGAATGCTCCTTGAAAGTGAGGGTGGCAAGACTTCATCTCCTGCACTTTGGACATGTTATCAGTGGAAACCAGTCCCTGGAGAATTACATCATGCTTGGTAAAGTAGAGAGTCAGTGAAAAAGAGAAAGACCCTCAAGGAGATGGATTGACACAGTGGCCGAGACAATGGACTCAAACATAACAACAACTATGAGGATGGTACAGGACCAGGCAGTGTTTCGTTCTGTTGTATATCTGGTCACTGTGAATTGGAAACAACTCAATGGCACCTAACAACAACAACAAATTAAACAGTGAAGTACCATTTTTTTTAACCCATTATGTTGACCATACAAAAGAAGAATCTATGCATTCACATTGTGGTGTTCACAAAGAATATTGAATATACTGTGAACTGCCAGAAGAAGGAACAAATCAGTCTTATAAGAAATGAAGCCAGAGTGCTCCTTTGAAGTGAGGATAGTGAGACTTCAACTCACTTAGTTTGGACATGTCATCAGGAAAAACCAATTGCTAGAAAAGCACATTATGTTTGGCAAAATCGAGAGTCAATGAAAACAAAGGAAACCCTCAACGAGACGGACCGACACAATAGCCACAATGATGGATTCAAACAAACCAATGATCGTTAAGATGGTGCAGGACTGGGCAATGTTTCATTTTGTTGTTCATAAGGTTTTCAAGAGTAGGAGCTGACTGGACAACAACTAACAACAACAATTAAAATGTTGGCCAAAAAACTTGATAATCACCAGTTTGGAGAGGTGTATGTGGCAGCACATTCTGATAAACTGTCAATGATGTATAAATGTGCACTACGTTTTGGGAGGGCGGCCTTTATTAGGTATGAAAATAAAATGCTTGCATGTCCTTCAATTCTCCTGCAGTGCACTTCTCCTACAGAAACGCTTGTGTGCTCAAGGGTGGACTTTTCAGTATTATCTGTTACTGGAAAAATAGGAGACCAAGCTTGTGCATTGGCAGGGACTGGTTAGGATTATGGTGTATCCACCTGATCTGTATGAGACCAGCGCTCCATGGAGCAGAAAAGCATGCGGTCAGTTCCAGTCCCCTCGGATGGCCACAGATTGGGAGGCCAACCCCTAAGGAAAGCAGTCGTTTTCATGTTGTACACCTACATAGCTTACATTTTCTATCAACATGTGCTTTCCTGGTAAACAATAACTGAAAAAAGTCATCATTAAATGACTCAGGACTAAGATCCAGGGAGAAGATTCTTCCAGGTGCTTGTGGCATTTTGTTTGTTTCTACTGGAAAAAAACAATTTTCTTCCACTCAAAATCAAAACATTTGTTTTCTTCTATATCTGCAAACAGAACACGGGAGGTCCTGCTGTGGTTACTGAGCCAAGGGCGGACATTCCTTCGTGAAAACATGAGAAAGTAGACAAACCGCTGACAGAAGCTGAAGGAAAATAAGCGATGTGGAGCACACAGTAGCGATATTGGTGCCCACATTTGCATAGTGGGAAATCTAAAAATCTGGTTTAAAGTTGAAAGAAAAAAGGTCTAACGTGACATAAAATACCAGAGGAAGGATGAAATAAGAATAAAATAAAGCTCAGAAATGAAAGGAAGGATGGGAGGGAAGGCAACTGACAATTCTTGATCAGTCAGGAGCTATCAATATAGATACGTCATGTAACATTAGGGATTAATTGTCTTTAAGGAGAAAACTGGTTTTGTAATGTGTGTGGTATTCGTTATAGGTCTTTCTGCACTATTTAATTTTTTACACAAACATATATTAGCATGATGAAAATTTTAAATGTTCAATACAAAAATAACATCAAAGATTTCAAACCTAACCCAGACGTTTAAAAACATCCACAGTGGAAAAGAAGTACATGGGTCCATTTATTTACCTTAGTCTCATAAACTTATTTTCAATTTTGATGACTTATTTCAAATTCATGATCATACATGATAAAATACATTTTGCAAAAACAAGCTCAATTTTCTGTTCTGTTACCTGTGGTTTTGAAAGTCCTCTGACAGTTATTAAAGAACAGAAAAAGATACTTAAAAGTAAAAGTAAATTTAAAAATGTTTTGTGCTCACTTCATCAGCATATATACTAAAATTGGAACAATACTGAGAAGATAAGCATGGCCCCTGTGCAAGGATGGCATGAAAATTCATGACGTTTTCCATATTTTTAAGGTAAGGAGGAGAAGGGAAGCTAGATCAATGGAAGCAGAACAAACAGAATGGAAATAATCAGAATATTGACACAGTGTGAAAATTGTAACCAATGGCACAGAACAATTTGTATAAAAATTGTTAAATGGAAACCTAATTTGCTGTGAAAACTGTCACCTAAAACATAATTATTTTTTTAAAAAGTTCCTTTTTTTGTTATTTTATTCAATGTCATTCTTTGAAGAACCATTAGATCCCCAAGTAAACACCCAAGGACCACGAGGGCCCTCAAAGCCCCAAGCTCTTTTGAGTCACTCAAAAGAAAAATGCCTCCGAGTCATAAGAAAACACACGTAGGAGAATTTAGTGACCACACAGCTGCATGTGTGACGCAAACACGTCACTGTCCAGTTTATGAAGGGCAAGGCAGCAGCCAGCCCAAACCTAACTCCTGGCGCTGTCAAGCCTGTGGACATGAAAGCACATTTCTTTGCGTGAACAACACAAGAAATTCAGAAGCTTTGGGGCACTTTACGTTTTACGTTTGCTGACATCTGTAGTGAACAGAAATTTTAAAGTCCGCTGAAACTATCTGCCTCAGAGAACCGTGAGTTGGGATACTCCGGAGCATCGACCACCCAGCTGGCCTGACCTCTGCCTCTCTTGCCCTCAGAGGGACACAGCAACACCCCCATCAGGAGGTGGAATTTGTTCCCTCTCCCCACAAGTCTGGGCCAGCATGGTTGGCGTTGGCCTCTGGGATACGGCAGAAGCTAGGCTTTCAGAAGCTGTTCTGATCACCTTGTACACACCCCGCTGGTGAAGGAGGCATCCTGTCCTAAATAGCGGCAGGTGGTGAACACCCAGGCGGTTCAAAACAGTTAAGATCAAATGTTTTGCAAGATTTGTTTTATACTTAACAGCTGCTTATGTATTCTCTGATTAATTCAAATGTTTTCGAAGTTTATGTTTATGATATGCTTTCACTAAAAATTGCATAAATGCATGTTTCTGAAAGGAAGTATTTTGATTAAGTCACAGTGGTCCATGACTCTTCCATAAGCTCTGTGTTACACCAGTGGAGGTGTACCAAATGGACGGAGACAAGATGGTCAGGGCCCACCTCCCTCCCACCTCCTCTCCCCTTCTATGGAAGGGACAACACAGCAAACTGCACTCACCTCGATATATCTGGACACACTTGGGTGCACCCAGGCACACCCAGGTACCCACTAGAAGTTTAAAGACTGTCCACCAAGACTGCAGGTTTCTACAGGGGGGAATGGCAGCTAAAGGGCTTACCAAGGCATCATTGTCAGTACTATTTTAATCGATGTGGAGGGGGAGTTAGATTTTTCTCTTTTTAGAAACCTTCCACAGATGCATGAAAAGGGGGCTAAATATATGGACACGATACACTTATTTTTATTAATTTTCTAGAATATTTAGTTGAGCTAAAATCTGATTTTCAAGTGCTTGATAGGAAACCAAATGTGCTACTTTGTTTTCAACTTCCTTTTAAAGGAAATCTATACATTTGGAATTCATATGCTTTTACTCTATTATTCACATATTATTATTAATATGCTATTGTATATGTTAATATTATTCTATCAATTATGTTAGATATTATTAATGATATTGATGAATGGAATGATTATACATACCATTATAAATGATTTGAATGAAGAACCTATTGAACTGGAATACATAGATTATACCTGTGAGCAGTTGCAGCTCCAGGGAGAGGACTCATCACAAAGGGGTCTGAACACATGGGATAAAGTTGTACACCCGCTGGGATGTTGGGAACCCCAAGCAAACAATAAGGTGAGAAGTCACACCCCAAAGTCTGGACCCATCATGGGAGCAGCAAGTCCCAGAGAGCCCATGCTCCTCTCCTGGGTGCACACCTTGGCACAGCTGCTCACTCGCATCCTCCTCACCAGCAGCCTCCTCACCAGCATCCTCCTCACCAGCATCCTCCTCACTCCCATCCTCCTCACTCCCATCCTCCTCACCAGCATCCTACTTACTCCGATCCTCCTCACCAGGATCCCCCTTGCATCCTCCTCACTCCCATCCTCCTCACCAGCGTGCTCCTTACTCCGATCCTCCTCACCAGGATCCCCCTTGCATCCTCCTCACTCATATCCTCAGCATCCCGGTAGGTTACTCAGAGGGAGCGCGGGGCATATAGTTGAAAGTCACCACTTCATATCGCCCTGTATCACACGAAATGACATGAAGAGCCTGCCACCATGCCCAGAACATAATAATGTACCAATAAGTACATTTTGCTTGCACCTCTGCCTCCCGCAAAATGCCTTGGTGGCGTGACAGTTAAGCAATCAGCTGCTAACCGAAAGGTTGGTGGTTTGAATCCACCAGCTGCTTCTCGGGAGAAAGGCCTGCAAGTCTGCTCCCCTAAAGGTTATAGCCAAGAAAACCTCATGGGGCAGTTTTACTCTGTCATACAAGTTCACTATGAGTCAGCATCTACTTGAAAGCACCTAACAACGGTATCAACTGCCTCTCTCAGATGGATTGAGAGTTGCTTCAGTTTGTTACAATAGAGCCAAATTTTTTCACTTTTAAAGATCTTTTTCCTAACATTTTGACTCAGGTTTCTCAGAAGTAAAATAAAATAATAATAAAACAAAACATTAAGAAGGAAAGTGGAGAAGTGACACTGATCCATCGATTAAATCACGCTTTCAGTGGAAATTCCTCCACAGACAAGCCCATATGGGCCACAAATGACCTCCAGTCTGTGCTGCTTCTGTTTCTCTGTCCCTCTCTCTCTGTAGGTCTTCCTCTGTCCCTCTGTCTCTCTCTCTCCTATCTCTCTGTCTCTGTCTCTCTCTCCTCTTTCTGTCTCTGTCTCTCCTTCTCTCTGTCTCTCCCTATCTTTTTCTGTCTCTCTCTGTTTTTCTGTCTCCCTTTCTGTCTTGTTCTGTCTTCCTCATCTCTCTGTCTCTCTCTGTCTCTGTCTCTCTTCCTCTCTCCCCCCGCCCCCCGCCCCGACCCAACACACACAGACTCACCAGGCTCCAGCCAAACAGCACTTTCTTGAAAGGACATACTCCTCCATGCAGGTGGTTCTTGCTGCCTGACAGGACTGTGGGGGGGGTGTGGGGAGCAGGCGCTGAGGAATCCATCTCACTGGTCCTGTGGCTGACTCTGGGGGTAAAGGGTGTGAGGGTCAGGGCTGTGCAGCATTTGACCCTACATCTCTGACACCATATGATGCCTAGAACTCAGGGCATATTTGATAGATGTTTGTTCAACAAATAGACAAAAAATAATTCTGGGAAGTACTCCAGAAACAGCATAAAGTACTTAGGCAAATAGAATACATTTCATTGCAAAATTTCAGCAGATTTCAACTGGATTTTCAAAAGAAAAGAACAAAGTCCCTGAATAGAAAAATTGCAAGGCAACAAGATCAGAAAGTGAATAAAGCTCAGTATTGTCAAAGAAAAGAGACGAAGCTTCAGTTATCTACTTAACACATGCCCTCATTTAATGATGCTATAAAGAAATAGAAATGCACGTATGTTCAAATCAAGAATTTGCCTTCCTGTCAAGAATTTGCATGTTTTGATTAAAAAAATTTAAAGACAAAAATCAATTTATATACAATTTTGAACAACACATACCTATATCCATCAGTCAGTTGCATCCATATGTTTTTTGGAAATTGCAATTAGAAAGACTAGTCTCTCCTTCCTGAACTGGGAACCAGGAGTCTCATGGGTATCCTACACCTCTCAAACATCCTGCAAACATGGAATAAAGTTAGTAAGCATTAAACATTTAATAGATTTCACAGGGACTGCATAAATGAAAAATGGGTGTGGAATCCATTGGTCATGAAAATAAATAAGCCATAGACATAACTGAGTTCTTATCATACCTAATATAGCAGTTTCCATAAACGTAGATTGAGAATTTTACCACCTGTACTGCCATGTACAATCAAACAAGTTCTACATTTGCTTTGCAATAGGTGATCTATACAAAACTTATAAAGAATAAAATACATAGGAAATTTAAAGTTAAAATTAAACCAAAAGCCTATAGAGCCCATCTTCCCTGCTCACTATTTCTGTGATTTCAGGGTATGCTTCAGGTGTCCCGCTGAGAACGTCACACCTGAATCGACCCATCCTCTCTGAATGTTCCAAGTCACTTTCCATCTAGGCATGATGCACCATCCCTTGTGTCATCTCCTGTGGGTTAAAGGCATCATTTGGTCTGGGATAAGCTCAGATAGAAGGCCCATAAAAATGGAATACTGAAGGATTACATAGGATTCTTTGCTTTCAATTCCATATTGGGATAACCCAAGAGGATTATTAGAGACCTGAATTCTAATTTTGCAAATAAGGAGACTAAGTGCTCTCAAACTGACCTTGAGTCACTGGGGACAAAGAGAAGGTTAAATATAGCTCCTGCAGCCCACTCCCTGCACCCCCTCACGGCTCAGGCTCTGTTAGGCACTGGGCACCCACGAGTCCTTGATTCCTCAGGCTCCTCCACGGGTAAACAGGCAAGGCACCACAGAGACAGTGCCTGCAGCGTCTCCTCATCTGACCCCTGCCCTGTCTGAACACTTGTCCCTCCACCTGTAGGGCCATTGGAGGTGCTGCTGCAGTTCCTTCCAGGGATGAAACCAGGATGCACCCTGTAGGCTCAGGGAAGACCCCCACACACATCACATTAAGTCCCCCACATGGCAAACTCCTCTTGGTCATAGTTCACTCATTTGTAGAGCGACATGCTTAGGCTAACTCTAGAGTCCACCACAGCTCAATAATCTGCAATCTACAATGAATAAAAACCCCTGTTTACACTCAAATCTCAGTCTGCCTTATTCACTTTCAGATGTCCTACATTTACACACTAGGATCGTCAGAAGTGCATTTCCCCCTTTGTCTTTGTATTTTGTTTTTCTTTCTCAGTTGGTGCCTCTACACTGTGATGTCGATTTGGTTTATGCTGGGTCTTGTTTT